GATCTGCGAATCTGTCGCCACTTTCGAGGGCTGCTGGGTGGCCCAGCGGAGTGACGTCATACGCAGATTAAGATTACCCCCCATTCCATCCTTCTCCTGCCCCTCGTTCCTGTCCCCGTTAGTCTTCGAGCCTGGGGCCTCAATCCTCGTTCTTTCGATCGTCGTCCTGTGAGTCGTGCAACGCATGCGCATCCCATGTAGTTTGCGCAGCAACTCACCGCGTCTACACTGTCGTTGTTCCTGCTAATGTTGGCCTACTCCTCTTGCCACTTGATGTACATGGGTTGGGTACGTCGCAGGGTAATGTTTTGCCACGTCCTCCAGAAACAGGACAACCCGGGACTCCCGACGACGCCCAGAAACATCACAAATCCGCCTCGATCCTCGACCATCCTTCCTCCTCCTCCTCCTCCTGCTCCCTCTCCTCCTCCTCCTCCTGCTCCTCCTGCTCCTCCTCCTCCTCCTCCTCCTCCTCCTCCTCCTCCTCCTCACTCCTAACTCCTCGCTCCTCACTCCTCACTCCTCACTCCTAACTCCTCGCTCCTCACTCCTCACTCCCCACTCCTCACTCCTCACCCATCCCTTCGCCTCCTCCGTCCTCGCCCCTGCTGGCGACGCCCCCCGCCCCAGATCGTGGACACCCCGGGCCCCGCGCCGCTCCGGGAGGCCCGGCCGCTGCCCCCTCGGAGGCGGAGGCGGAGGAGGGGAGGGAAGGGCACGGAGAAAAAGAGGAGGAGGAGGAGGAGGAGGAGGAGGAGGAGGAGGAGGAGGAGGAGGAGGAGGAGGAGGAGGAGGAGGAGGGGGGGAGGGGGGAGGAGGAGGAGGAGGAGGAGGAGGAGGAGGAGGAGGAGGAGGAGGAGGAGGAGGAGGAGGAGGAGGAGGAGGAACTCGAGGCGGCCGCGGCGGAGCAGCTCGTGGTCTCTGAAGGCCCCTCGAGGCATCTTGCTACACACTGCAAGCTACTGTAGCCGCGGCGTGAGCAAACTGAGGAGTCTGGACCCCCCTCCGAAGCTCACACCCAGCAGTCGGGACTCGAATGGGTATGTAAGGGGTCGAGAAGCCAGATGTGGAGGCGGACCAGTGCAAAGCCAAGACGGATCAACGATGTTGCGATGACCCCTCCCTCCAAGTTTCCTCTTCAGAGGCCCCCCTTATACGAATTTATGTATATTGTCTATTCATTGCGGGAAGTGCCCCATGGGAAGACAATTGTCTCAGAATCTTCAATCGTGCCAGCACATTTCCTGGGACTTCAACACCGCGAGTGAACGTAACTGTCGCGTCCTGGCAATCTTAAGTCGTGCCAGATAGCCATTGCTGGGACTCAACCATACGAGTCAAATTTCTGCGCACGTTGAAGACGAATGTTCGCGGCGCTAAGGCGAAAACCACATTTTGAAAAGGACCCGCCACCCATCCTTGAAGTTATTGCAAATTTCAAGCTCCAGGATCCTGAACGGTGAGGAAGTCGCAGACGAAACGCCCTGCCCGCCCTGCCGACGCGTCTGGGGTCCGGGGGTGGGACAAGGAGGCGTTGTTTATGAGGCAGGGGGAATGGAGGAGGAGGAGGAGGAGGAGGCAGAGGGATGGAGGAGGAGGAGGAGGAGGAGGAGGAGGAGGATCGAGGAGGACCGGGCGCTGCCCGAACCACCACCGCAGGCCGAGTAGCCGCCGCCGGCGCCGAGGCCGCCGCCGCGGAGCCGAGCCCGGCCGCGGCGGTGCAGCCGCCCGCGCGCCGCGGGGGGGCGGAGGGCTCTGCGCGGCTGCTGCTGCAGGGGTGGCCCTTCTAAAACGACGCGAAGATCGGGACAAAATCGGATCCGGATAACTCTCTCCCTCTCCTACTCCTCCTCCCTCTCCTCCTCCTCCTCCACCTCCTCCTCCTCCTCCTCCTCCTCCTTGTCCTCCACCTCCTCCGCCGCGCACCGTTGTGGACCCGTCAGGCCCACTCCTGTCGAGCGCGGGTCTAAAACGATGCGAAGATCGGGATAAAATCGGATCGGAATAACTCGAAGTCCCTGAGAGTCGGCGGGTTTGGAGGACGTATTGTGCGCCGCGGCCGCTCCAGAGCGTTCCGGAAGGCTCTGAGAGCGCTCCGGAACGCTCTGGAGCGATTTATCCCGATCCTAGCCATGTTTTACCTTCGCCGCAGTGTCGGCGTCAACCCAACATTCCCCAATCAGTGCTTGCACTGAAGGGGTCCTGGTGGAAGTTGAAATATTGGGCGAAAGTTTCCCGCCGATTTTGGTAGCAGGCTGGGCTCCCGGGTTCCCGAGACCGGGTGCCCGGGCAAAAGTTGACGATTCGGCGAACATTTCCCGCCGATTTTGGTGGCAGGCTGGGTTCCCAGGTCTCCAGTTCCGGATTCCCGGGTTCCCCGTTATTGGTTCTGGGCTGATTTCGGTGGGTTCAGGGTTCCCTGGTTTCCGGTCGATGTCCTTCTTGATTTTTTCGCCAATCCCACCATTCATAAAACCATCCACTGATTGGGGTTTTTCTCTGGTGTAATTATACTATGTGTGCGTCGGCCCCCCCCAGGGCGACGCGCGCACCGAGAAATCTTGTAGCATATGCGTCGTGGCGGGCGCTTTCTGGCCGCACCGCTCGGGAGACGACATGCTACGAGATGGGCATACTACATGTTCGGGTCGGACGCGCGCCTCCAAGGAGGACATTTTTATTTCAAGTTTGGCTCAAGCTGTTTGGCCATCACCTCTACATCCGTTCACCCCTACATCCGCCTCCCATCCGCTCACCCCTACATCCGCTCACCCCTACATCCGCCTCCCATTACTACACAGACCTTGATTGTTTCTGGGTGCTCGTGTTTCTGCGAAAATGCCGGCGGAAAAGCACCACATGGGGACTCCAGTGAAGAGCGCGCTGAAGCAGGCCAGGACGGGGAGCAGCCTTCCGCAGGAGCCACAGCCTATGGCAGCAGAACCTGAGGCAATAGCAGTGCGTCAACAGCAATTTCAAGAGTACATGGACGCAGCCGCGGACAAGCCCCTGACCGCCAAGGACTTTGAGACGATTCTGAACCACCACCTCGACCCCATCAGGAACGACATCCAGGCTATCAAAACGCACGGCGTATCACGAAAAGATTTAAGCGACACCATCAATCCCATCAAGACCGAGATCGACGCATTGACAAAACGAGTGGGACTGCTTGAAACAAATTATTCTTCCCGGCCGACGTCAGCAAGATCGGCATCCGGAGCGTCCGTGGACACGGCCACGCAGGCGAATCTCGCAGAGCTTGAACGTGAAGTTTCTCGTCTCCGGGCGCCTGCACAAGGTCATGCACCTCTCCCTGGGCACAGCCATGGCACAGACAAGCGGGACATCACGGCGGTGGTCGGAAATTTAGACGGGTTTGGATCGATTGAGGCCGCTGGGGATTGGATGAAACATGAATTGCAGCAGCTATTGGCACCCACACCATCCAATATTTACACAAAAGGGGAATCCAATAACATTTTGTTCATGGAGTTCAGTTCAACCGACGACAGGAACACGGTGGTGAACCAGCTTCGCAATGCCAATATTCAGCATGAAGGCAAAAGCATTTGGGCAACGGTCGATCGCCCACCTTTAGTTCGAGCCGGTCGTAATTTTTGCTTCGGTGTTATATATATGCTGAAAGACACAATGGGTATCCAATACCCAGTGCGAGTTGATGGCACCACCCATCCATACACGGTCACAGTTGGAGGGGAATTGGCATTATCGGTTACGATTGATGGGCAAACCGTTCACCGTGAGTGGAGCAAAGAGTGGCTTGAATGGCAAGAGTTGCAGAGCCATGCAAAGCTCCATGAACTCGTCGCGGCATGCGACGGTATCGTAGATCGTTCGGCGTTGTCCCGGAAAGGCGGGGCCAAAGGTTTGGCGAAAGGCACGAAGTAGGACACGCGGCCGGCATTGGCAGCCACTACCCCATCAAGTGCTTCTTCCTTGTCCAATGCCGGAGCCGACACTGTGGCACTACAAGCAGGTATTCTGCTAGATTCCGTTTCTTCTTTCTCAAGTCGCGTATCCAAGGTGGACAAAGATACCATAATGGATGCGCAATATTATTCTCACTCTCGAGATCGAGCCCTCTCTTCTTCTCAACCTCACTGTTTACGTCTTGCACATCGCTCTCCTCCTCTGGTACATCGTTCTTATCAATCAGGGCCCCGCTGCGATGAAGATCGTGGTCGAGAACGCCTTCTACATGTCCAACGCGATTCCCCTTCATTTTGCGGTGCGGGTGACGTTCAGGGCTTGGGCAAATATACCACCCCAGACAGTATCCTGACGACCAGATCTTCGAGGGCAGAATTGGGGGGAGGAGATCACGCGTCCGAATCTGCGCCCGGCATGCACACTATCGCCATGGACATCGTTTGCGATACTTTCGCAGATCCGCAGGCGTCCGGGAGCCTGGCTCCGACACAAACGCAACTCAATATAACCACATGGAATGCGAGAGGCCTTGCGGACCTCAAGCTGGCGGAGTTGACGCGCATCATGCAGGCATACAGTATAGACAGTCTTTGTTTGCAGGCAACCAGGAAAACAAAGGCTGAAATTGATAATTCCGACGCTTATCTGTTGATTCTATCTGGAGAAGATACGGAAGGCACATCATATTCAGGAGATGGAATTATTATTGCGCCGCAGGCCCAACTTCGCATCAAATCTCACAAGCAAATCTCTGATCGCATATGCCTCCTCAAATTGCGAGTGAGCCAGGGCGCGCTTGCAATACTTAACGTGCAAGCGCCTCGCAACGCGAAGCCGCTGCCGGAACGTCAGATCTTCTATGCGGAGCTTGACTCAGAGTACGCGGCGTGCAACGCTAACAAAGGGAAGATCTTGACCGGCGATTTCAACGCGAGGATCGGAACGGCGGACGCAGGAGAATATGCTCTAGGCCAGCATGGGTGGGGCCGGCGAGCAGCGCGCCAAGTGGAAGTACCAAATCGAGATCTCCTGCTCGAGGTCTGCACGGGGTCCTCTCTGAAGATCGCCCACGCATTTTTCCATCGAGCGCTGAGCAAGAAAGTGAACTTCGTGGAGGCGGGCGTCCTGCCTATGGACGACATCACTGAAAATGCGTTCAACATTTTGGATATCATCTCGTGCGATGCTGCTCGGCTTGGCGCCATCAACTGCATGGGTAGTCATCGCGAAGCCGCTCTTGTAACATATCACTTCTTGGCCACGTGTTCCATTGCAGTCAACTTGGGCGCAGAACCGCGCAAGGCGCTCCAATGTTTCGACGTTCGTTCCCTGTCGGACGAACTTGTTGGCCGAGCATTTTCGGGGGCTTTTCTCGCGGCCGTGAGCCCGCAGTTTAGCGTGCAAAGCACGTGGGGCGACGCCAAAGCCGGCATGGCACAGGCAAGAGAAGTACTCCCATGTTGGAGGAGTACGTGTAAAAAGCCATGGATCTCCAAGCGCGCTGGACCCGATCGACCTTCGCACCCGAGCGAGGCTTGAAAACAACCACTCTGCAGTCAAAGATTTCCTGAAGCAGATTCGTAAATCAGCGAGGCACGACGGGACAGCGTGGATGAACGACCAAATTGCTGCTGTGGATTGGGCCTCCTTGAGGCGAGCCTGCCGGCCTCGCGCCCGGAAGCAAGGCAGGTTGAAGGATCTAGAGGGCAACCTTGTGGGCAGCAGCTGCCGGGCAGATGCCGCGGCGGAGTATATTGAAGAAGTTCAATGGCATGTTCGCCCTGCAGATGTTGCGCCCTCGGAGCCGTTCGGCCCCTCTCTGCCGGCATCGGGGGCAGACTTCGCGCAGAGGCAGCAGTGCGTGAACTCCAGCGTGGCAAAGCGGCCGGCCCCGACGACATCCCAGCAGAGTACTGGAAGACACTTGCAGACGCGCCTGGGGGGCTAGAGTGGATCACAGACCTGATGAACAAGTGTTGGAGGGAGAAGTCGGCACCGAGCGATTCGCAGCATGCAGCTATCAGCGCGATCAACAAGAACAAGGGGGCCATCGACGAATGCGACAATTACAGACCGATTAGCTTTTTGTGCATTAGCTTCAAGCTCCCGGCAAGCCTACTACTCAAAAGATTGCAAGAAGCGGGGGCGGAGGACAGACTAACAAAGACGCAGTTTGGATTTCGCCGAGGGCGGGGGGCTTCGGACGCAATGCGCGCAGTGCGAAGACACGTCGATTGAGCACACGCAGAAAAAGGAAGGTAAAACAGCAATGGTGGCACTAGATTGGAAGAATGCTTTTGGTTCAATACATGTTGGCGCCATGCTGGATGCTCTTTGCGCCTTCGGTGTCCCGGAGCCCATGCTGCGCATGATCGGTCACATCTACGAGAACAGGCACTTTTGCGTAGCGGACGGGCGAATCCTGCCCCAATCGCGACCGCGAGAATCTGGGATCTCACAAGGTTGCCCGTTGTCTCCATTCCTGTTCGTTATGGTGATGTCTGTGGTCATCCGAGAGGCCAGGGACAAGTTGCCCGCAGACGCGCGCGAGGCCTTGGACGAAGGGCAAATTTCAATACTGCTGTGTGCTGACGACGCGCTGCTGGTGGGCACATCCCAACACTATCTGCAACTGCCCCTGGAGGCTGTGGCGGGCGCCGGAAAAATGTTCGGGGTGGATTTGCATTGGGGCAAATTCCAGCTGATGTGCGTGAAGTGTGACGTTGAATTGGTCGCCCCTGGAGGCGCCGCAATCGCAGCGAATGAGTGCATGAAGTATTCGGGGGCCACGCTGTGCAGCGCAGGCAAGCTTGGAGGAGAACTTACCAAAAGACTGGGAATGGCATG